GTCCTAGGACTGCCCTCCCCCACCCCCATAGTTCTGAAGTGGGTACATCAGAAGGGCTGCCCAGCTGTTCCCCACATCTGGATGAGAATCAGATTCAATCCACTCTCTCTCTTTGCACGGAGGTTTTTTGTACCCCAGAAGAGAGAGTAACACGGATAAAATCGGGAAAACACGAACAACCCAAGATGCAACATTCCGAAACTTTCCCGAGTAAATACAAGGGTTAGGAATAGCTCACGCCAAAGTGCAACACACAGACACGCGTGTGTGACTGTGCTTATTTCTCTACTTCACCGAAGTGGGAAATCAAACCACAACAGATTTTGCTCCTGACCTCCTGATTCATGGAGTGTGAAATGCAACTTTTCAATGTGCGTTTGGAGCTGGTGCCCCTGCCTCCTCCTACAGCAAAAGTACCGGCTGGAGTTAACAGCAGAGGGCAGTCAAGGAGCTTTCTGAGGACAGGAGCATCTTTTCCCATCCATCCAGGCCACATTCGGAAAAAAAGGAGCAGCAGGAGAAAGAGTTTGCTCCAAGTCTGCCTATCTCTCAGCGCTCCGAAGGCAGAAAACACACCAAACAGAAGATGACATTTCACACTTAAAAGACGCCAAGACTTGTCCTCAATAAGCGAAGTGCTTCACTTGCAATTAGTCTCGAACGAATATGGTTCACAGCACATTTCTTCCATGCACTCCGAGCATAATCAAAATTTTAAACGCCTGTCTGCTACTTCCCTGGATCCTCGTATTTCATTGATTTCCCTGCTTTTGCTACAAACATTCATTATAAATCAGCAAACAACGAACCACAGCGAACTAAATTAGAGCAGAAAAAAAATGAAAAGGTGAAACAAGAAAGAAGAAGAGTAGCATTTGATTTCTACATATCAGGTGATTTCCCATGTTTCCTATTTAAATCATTTTAATATAAAATAAGTAAATCATTTTAATAGGAAACATGAGACATTGTCTGATATATAGAAATCAAATGCTACCCTTCTTTCTTTTTCACTTTTTTCATTTTTTTCTGTTCTAATTTAGTTTGTGCAGTTTTTACTCTTGTTCTTAAAACTTTTAATTAAATATATTTTGAAACAATTAAATAGACTGTTCTCCTGAAAGAGAATCTTCATATATCTGAGATAGGAATGGATAGGACTGCCTCAAAAGTGTTATTTACCAGGTGGGTAAATAAAGGTTTTTATATATTCCTGTATTGCCATGAATCATAGCAATAGCAACAGCAGTTCGACTTATATACCGCTTCATAGGGCTTTCAGCCCTCTCTAAGCGGTTTACAGAGTCAGCATATCGCC